GATGGCAGAGCAGTAGACATTGTTTATCTGGATTTTAGTAAAGCCTTTGACAAGGTTCCGCTTGATAGACTAATTAGTAAAGTTAGGTCACATGGGATTCAGGATAAGCTTTCCAATTGGATATATAATTGGCTTAACTTAAGGAGACAGTGAGTAATGGTGGAGGGTTTCTTTTTGGACTGGAAGTCTGTCACTAGTGGTGTTCTACAGGGATTGGTACTCGGTCCACTTTTGTTTGTCATTTATATAAATGATTTGGATGAGAATATAGAAGGCATGGTTAGTACATTTGTGGATAACATCAAATTTAGTGGCATAGTAGAGAGTGAAGAAGGTTTTCTAAGATTACAAAGGGATCTTGATCAAATGGGTCAATGGGCTGAAAGATGGCGGATCGAGTTCAATCTGGATAAATGTGAGGTATTGCATTTTGGTACAAAAAAAAAGGTAGGGCTTATACAATTAATGGTATGGCCTTGGGTGGTATTGTAGAACAAAGGGACCTAGGTGTGTAAGTACATAATTCTTTGAAGTTTGCATCACATACAGACAGGATGGTTAAAAATGTGTTTGGCACACTTGTCATCATTGCTCAATCCTTGGAGTATAGGAGTTGTGACGTTATGTTGAGGTTGTACAGGGCATTAGTGAGGCCTCTTCTGGAATACTGTTTCCAGTTCTGGTTGCCAATTTACAGGAAGGATATTATCAAGCTGGAGAGGATTCAGAAGAGATTTATGGAATGTTGCTGGGTATGGAAAGTTTGAGTTATAAGGAAAGGCTGGGACTTCTTCCACTGGAGCGTAGGAAGTTGAGAGGTTACCTGATAGAAGTTTATAAAATAATGAGAGATATAGATAGAGTTGATGGTAGTTGTCTTTTCCGAAGATGGGGAATGACTAGGGGCATATTTTTAAGTTGAGAGGAGTGAGATTTTAAAAAAAACATGAGGCAATTTTTTTTTACACAGAGGGTGGTTCGCATGTGGAATGAATGTCCTGATGAAGTGGTGGATGAGGGTACAATTACAACTTTTAAAAGACGTTTGGATGGATATATGAATAGGAAAGGTTTGGCGTGATATGGGCCAGGAGCAGGCAGGTGGGACCAGTTTAGTTTGGGATTATGTTCAGCATCGACTGGTTGGACCAAAGGGTCTGTTTCCATGCTGTATGACTCTTTGACTCTAAGATTAGGTTTATCAATTTGTCTGATGACCATGGCTTCTGACTTTCTGTCCCTCAATCAGACTTTCTGCACTGCATTCAAGGTTGACAGTTTTCACTGTGTCTACTGTAATCTGAAGTCTGCTGCTTTTTGCTTGGCTTTTCTCTAGTTGTGTTACCTTTTCATGGATTGAAACTAATGATCGACCTGAGGTTGGTTCTAAAACAGATACTTCCATTTGTAAGCCCGTTGACATTAACAATATTGCAGGTGAGCATCCATTATTCAATGGTGTTGCAATCTAGCTGAGTAAAGATAAATCTTAGTCCGGAATCTTATGCATCAGGGTCTTCACTGTCTTGACCATTCTTTCCAGTTCCCCAATCTTTCTCCATAGTGTGTACGCCTGTTCAGTCTTTGTCAAAGCTCTTAATCCAATTTTAGCAAGTTTGCACTTGAACAATGTCCACTCCTAATACCATGGGGTGATACATCTGTAACTACTATAGTGAATAAGCCTGGTTTGTAACATAGAAATGTAAAAAGGGAACAGAAATAGGCCATTCAGCTCTTCAAGCCTGTTCCATTGTTCATCATGACTGATCATTTTACTCAGTACCCTGTTTCTACTTTCACCCTATATGCTTTGTTCCCTTTAGCCCTAAGAACTGTATGCAACTTCTTCTTGAAAACATTCAATGTTTTGACCTCAACCACTTTCTGTAGCAGAGAATTCCATAGGCTCACCACTCTGAGTGAAGAAATTTCTCCTCGCCTCAGTCCTAAATGGCCTACCCTCTACCCTTATAGATAACATAGTGTGGAGCTGGATAAACACAGCAGGCGAGGCAGCATCAGAGGAGCAGGAAAGCTGACGTTTTGGGTCAGTACCTTTCTTCAGAAATGGGACTTACTATCTCTGAGTGAGTTATAACCCCACTGCCAGTCATCAGGAACATCCTTCCTGTGTTTGCCCTATCTAGTCCTGTTAGAATTTTATAGGTTTTTAGGAAATCCACCATCAGTCTTCTAAACTCCACTAAATATAGTCCTATCAAATCCAGTCTCTCTTCATACAGCAGTCCTGTCATCCCAGGAGTCGATCTGCTAGACCTTTGTTGCAGGCCCTCCATAGCCAGAACATCCTTCCTCTGATAAGGTGACCAAAACTGCACATGATACTCTAGGTGTGGTCTCACCAAGGCCCTGCATAATTGCAGTAAGATATCCCTGCTCCTGTACTCAAATCCTCTCATTGTAAAGGCCAATATACCGTTTTTGCCTTCTTCATCGCCTGCTGCCCCTGCTTGCTTACTTACAGTCACTAGTGTACAACAACATTAAGATCTCAATGCATCTTCCCGCTTTCCAATCTATTGCCTTGCAGATAATAATCCACCTTCCTGTTTTTGCTATTGAAGTGATGGTCTCATATTTATCAACATTATACTGCATCTACCATGCATTTGCCTGTTCACTCAACTTGTGCAAATCTCACTGAAACATCTCTTCATCCTCACAGTTCAACCTTCTACCCAGCTTTGAGTGGTCTGCAAACTTGAGAATATTACATTTGGTTGCCTTATCTGAATCATTAGTATATAATATGAATAGCTGGGTTCCAAGCACCGATCCCTCCAGTATCCCACTTGTCATTGGCTGCAACTCACAATAAATGACCCATTTATTCCTATTTTGTTTCCTGTCTGCTAGCCAATCCTCTATCCATGTCAGTACACTATCCCCAATCCCATGTGCTTTAATTTTTCATGCTAATCTCATATATGGGACTTTATCAAATGCCTGCTGAAAGTCCAAGTAAACCACATCCACTGACCAAATCCACACTCCCCCCCCCCCCACCCCCCCACAACCCCGCCACACTATTAACACTACTAATTATATCCTGTAAAATTCTAATAGATTTGTCAAGCATGATCTTCATTTCATAAATCCATGCTGACTCTGTCCAATCACGACACCATTTTCCAAGTGCTCTACTATTAAATCTTTTGTAATGGGGCCTAGCATTTTCCCTAGTGATCTCAAGCTAACCAGTCTATGATTCCCTGTTTTCTCTAATACCTCTGTTTTTTTTTTTAAAATATCGGGTTAGTTTAACTACCCTCCAATCTATAGGAACTGGTCCAGAGTCTATAAAATCTTGAAAGATGATCACCATTACATCTGCTATTTCTACAATCACATCCTTAAATACTCTGGGATGTAGATTATCAAACCCGGAGGATGATGTGACAGCCTTTAATCCCAATTTCCCCAAAACACCTTCCTTACAAATACTGATATTTTCCATTTTCACTAAAAGATGCGTTCCCCAACACTTTTGGGATGTTACGCCTCTCCTTTGTGAATACAGAACCAAACTATGTTTTTAACTGGCCTGTCTTTTTTGTTCCCCATTATAAACTTCCCCTGTTTGATGGTAAAGGACCAACATTCGTCTTCATTTACCTTTTTTGTCTTCAAGCGCCTATAGAAGCTTTTACAATTTTTCTATATGTGCCCTGCAAGCTTACTTTCATATTCTACCTATCCCCACTTACATCTAATCCCCTTGTCCTCCTTTACTGAAATCTTAATTGCTCCCAATCTTCAGATCTGTTGCTCCTTTTGGCTAATTTATACACCCGTCCTTGAATCTAGTACTATCCATAATTTCCATTGTTCCCATGGCTATGCCACCTTTCCTTGTTTTCTTTCTGCCAGATAGAAATGAGCAGTTGCTCATTGCATGCTTTGAATGTCTGCTGTTGCCTATCTACTGTCATCCCTTTAAGTAATGCTCCCTGATTTATCACAACCAGTTCACAGTCATACCACTATAGTTTCTTCTATATAGATTCAAGACTCTAGTGTCCAAATCAACTGTGTCACTTTATCTTAAATGAAGATCATATTACGTTCACTCCCCACTTCCTCCCCCAAAAAAAGGGGCCATGGACACCTAGTTTGTCATCCATAATTTTCTCATTGCACTACACTTGTGAATGATCTTATGATGACCCTTTGTCTAGTTGACTCCTCAATGTATTGATCCAGAAACCATCTCATACACAGTGCAGAATTCCTCCTGTTTGGTAATATTACTGATTTGATATGCTTAATCTATATACAGATTAACATTCTCACAATTACAGCTATACCTTTATTGCTTGTGTCTAATTTCCTGTTTAATGCCTTCCTCAACATTACTACGATAGGTCAGAGGTCCATATACACAACCCCCGCTATCGTTTTCTGCCCTTTGGTGTTTCTAAGCTCTACCCATACAGATATACTTCACCAGAGTTAAATATCTTTCATCACAGTGCTAATAACCTCCTTAACCAGAAGTGCTATCCCATCACCTTTTTCTTTGTCTGTCCATTCTAAAAACTAAATGCCCCTAGATATCTGCATGACTAATTCATCCACTTTATTGTGGATGCTGGTTAAAAAAAAAGAGAAAGCTTCTTCTCTTTGAAAGTTTTATCAAATGTCACTGATACCAATACCACTGATGACCTTCTTTCAAAAGATCCATTATGGGTTAAGTAATCAATGAAGTTGGGAACAAACCATGCCTAAGTACATGCCTATACTTCAGTGCCAGAAATTCACAGATGCTTCACATCTTCCTTGGAGAAAATTTAAGATAAGGTGTCCTACGAATTATCATAGTTCAAGAGAATTAGCTTTTCTCATTTGGTGTTGGGCCCATATTCTGCAATACAGTTAACACATCCCTAAACCTCTCATCTTGATTTTTTTTCTGTTTGACCATTCACAAGGATATCATCTGTCTAGAAAATAATTCTTGGTTTCTCTTCCAGCATTCGAGACACTGGCCTTTTGAAAATCTCTGGTACACAGACGATTCCAAATGGGAGATACTTGAAGCAATACTACCTGAAAGATGGAATAAATGTATTCAGCAAGATTGACCATTAGTCTAAGGGTATTTTGTTGGCTTCCTGTCCTGTAAAAAACACTTGCTTGTCGCCAATCTATCACCGACAGATGAAAGAGGATAGATTTTCCTCATAACTATTAACTGAGTGAGATTCATACACAATCTCAGTTCTTAATTTATTTTGGGAACTGTACTCATCCAAACATCATTATATTGGTTGCTACTGGCATAAAGACCCAGCTTTCAATCATGCTGTCAAACTGAGATTTCACTTTTCTCCATCAGAGGGTGAATTAGCCTGGGAGTATGACAGCAGATGGGCTTAGCATTTTCTTGCAGAATAATGTGATACTCCTGCTTCAGTTTGCCTAAATCTTTGATTAGTTTTGGAAATTCTGGCTCCAATTCTCTCCCATCTTCGTTCTGAAAATATTGTAAAGGAATAACTCAATGGAAGATCGATTCCTTTCTGGACCTCAGGCCAGCCTGACTTCTAAAAGAGGATTTCAGTTCAAAGTAGAAGGAGACATGTCTTTCAAAGCCTGCTTCTTGCAAGAAAAGATTTGGTAATCTTCTTGCTAAAGTACAGCAGCCTGTTCATTGTTAAAACTGAATGAAGATGAAGATTATTGCAGGTAGCAATATACATTTCTGTGAGATCTTCTGCTGCCATAGTTCCCAATTTAAACAAGCATGGAAAAAATTCAAACTTTTTAATAACAAGGTGTGGAGCTGGATGTACACAGCAGGCCAGGCAGTATCAGAGGAGCAGGAAAGCTGGCATTTCGGGTCTGGACCCTTCTTCAGAAATGGGGGGAGGGGAAGGGGACTCTGAAATAAAGAGAGAGAGGGGGAGGCGATGATAGAAGGTGGATAGTGGAGCAGATAGGTGGAGAGAAGACTCCTCCCACTTCCTACAGACGAAAGGGGTGGCCATGGGTACCCGCATGGGCCCAAGTTATGCCTACCTCTTTGTAGGATATGTGAAACAGTCCCTCTTGCGCAGCTACACTGGCACTATCCCCCACCTCTTCCTCCGTTACATCGATAACTGTATGGGCGCTGCCTCATGCTCCCACGAGGAGCTCGAACAGTTCATCCACTTTACTAACACCTTCCACTCCAACCTTAAGTTCACCTGGACCATCTCTGATGCCTCTCTCTCCTTCATGGACCTCTCTGTCTCCATCTCTGGTAACCACCTGGAAACTGATATCTATTTCAAGCCCACCGACTCCCACAGCTACCTAGACTACATCTCCTTTCACTCACCTTCCTGCAAGGATGCGATCCCCTATTCCCAATTCCTCCGCCTCCACCCCCAAGATGAGGCGTTCCACTCACGGACATTCCAGATGTCCTCGTTTTTCAAGGACTGCAAATTCCCCTCCACAGTGGTCGAAAACGCCCTCAACTGCATCTCTTGCGTTTCCCACACCTCAGCCCTCACATCCCCTCCCCGCAATAAAAACAAAGACAGAATTCCCCTTATCCTCACGTATCACCCCATTAACCTCCGGATTCAAAGCATTGTTCTTCGCCACTTCTGCCACCTGCAATCTGACGCCACTATGAAGGATATATTTCCCTCCTCACCCTTATCTGCCTTCCAGAGGGACTGCTCACTCCATGACTCCCTCGTCCGCTCCACACTCCCCACTAGCCCCATCACCCCTGGGCACCTTTCCCTGCATCCGCAGGAGGTGCTACACCTGCCTCTACACCTCCCCCCTCACCTCCATCCCAGGCCCCAAGAAAACCTTCCACATTAAACAGATGTTCACCTGCACATCCGCTAATGTGGTATATTGTATCTGCTGTTCCCGATGTGGCCTCGTCTACATTAGGGAGACCAAGCGGAGGTTCGGAGACCGCTTTGTGGAGCACCTACGCTTGGTTCGCAACAAATGACACCTCCCAGTCGTGAACCATTTCAACTCCCCCTCCCACTCCCTGGATGACATGTCCATTCTGGGTCTCCTCCAGCGTCACAATGATGCCACCCGAAAACTGGAGGAATAGCACCTCATATTCCACCTTGGAACCCTACAACCCAATGGTCTCAATGTGGGCTTTACGAGCTTCAAAATCTCCCCACCCCCGACCTCATCCCAAGACCAGCCCCTTCTCGTCCCCGCCTCCTTGACCTGTCTGTCTTCCCTCCAACCTACCTGCCCCTCCCTCCTCACTGACCAAACCCCATCCCAACTCCCTACCTACACTCACCTTTACTAGCTTCATCCCCGCCTTCTTGACCTGCCCATCTTCTCTCCACCTATCTCTCCACTATCCATCTTCTGTCACCGCCTCCCCCTCTCTCTATTTATTTCAGAGCCCCCTTCCCCTCCCCCATTTCTGAAGAAGGGTCGAGCCCTGAAGCGTCAGCTTTCCTTCTCCTCTGATGCTGCCTGGCCTGCTGTGTTCATCCAGCTCCACACCTTGTTATCTCAGCCTCCAGCATCAGCAGTTCCTACTATCTCAAACTTTTTAATGTTTCCTTTACGTTATCAAACACTGTACTTCCCTGTACTGAAAGCGAAACCTCATTTAGTTATCCATCCTTTACAAATACACAAATATCCAAATATATTTAACTTCTCTCTGGCTTCAGCTATATTGATAATAGAGGAATATGTTCAGGTTTGAAATTCATCTATATATTCTGTATAATCTATACCATACTGCAAATATACCATGGATGGCTTATTAAGCACTCGCCCTTTCTAATTTTCAGTTGTGCAGTTTATTATTGATTGTTACTTCCACTTTCTTTTTAAAGCAAGCATTTTCTGTAATATAGTCTAGCAGAATTTTGGATTCTAACCAGAAGTAAAAGTAGCACACCATGCATCTCATGTCACATGCAGCTGCAAGTGTTTTACTCAACATATCCTGCCGTGCAACTCAGCAGGCACAGGAATATCTAACAGTTTGAGCAGGAAATTGTTAATCCACACAAAGGAAAAACAGTATCTCTTGCAGACTCTTTTCTCAAGAAGTCCATTCACCTTGAAGTTATTTAACATCATTTTTCAAATGGAACTTATTGCAGTAGAAATTATGCAACATTATTTTCTATATTATATTTGTCACTCTATTTTTGCATTCCTCTAAAAACAATTTCAATGATCAGATTTTACAGACCTATAATAAAAAGATCAAAAACATTTTGCATTGTATGCGAAAATAATCCAAAAAATTTTGTGAAGCTTTGCCCGTGTTAAAAAACTGTTGAATTTTTAAGAACTCTTAAAGGGTCAATATCATGAAATTGAGAAGGCAAAAACAGAACAGAAGATCCATGGCAATTGCATTTAGGTGATGCTGAATAAAAGCAATACAGTTGCTTTCAATATAAAAATATATTACTGAAAATGTTGTTCCAACAATTTTTATAAGTCCCTATAGGAGTTACAACACCCTTAAATGTGTTTGATAGACACAGTTAAAAGTTTCATGGAAGCTGTTTGCTAATGCATTAGTGATACCTTTAAAGTAAACTCTTTTGTTCAAACTATTTTAGATACGTATTCATTTCCATCTCCTTGATAAGGAAACTGTTTGCCTAGTCTTTACTCTAAATGCAGGCAAGCACCTGGTTTCCATCTCTGCCAAACTAAATTCACAGAATTGCCATGGCGCAAAAAGAGACCACTTGACCCATCATGCCTGCACTGGTTCTATCACATTGTGGTAACCTCCTGGCTCTTCCCCCACATCCTTGGACACCCTTTCTATCTAAATAATCATCCATCCTGAATGCCTCAATTGAACCTGCTTCCACCAGATTTCCAGGCATTGCATTCCATATCCTAACTATCTGCTGTGTGAAAAAATTTCTTACCCCTCATTATGCTTGCTTCATTTGCACATCACTTTAAATCCAACCCCCTCATTCTTTTGTTTTTAAATGAATAGGAATAGCTTCTCCCTATATACTTTGTGCAACGTGCTCATAATTTTGAAAACCTCTATCAAACATCCTCTCAGCCTTCTCTTCAAGAGAACAATACCAATTTTTTCAAATGTATCCTCATAATCAATCTTCTCGCCATTGCATTCACAGCTTTCTGCTACTGTGGCACCCCCAGGTGTACACAATACTCCAGCTGAGAACTAAGACGCGTCTTCTACAAATTCAACATCAGGTCATTGCTACTGTGATCTATGCCCCTATTAATAAAGCCAAGAACACTGTGTGCTTTAACTTTTATTGTTACCTACCCTGCCATCTAAAGTGACCAATGCACATATACACTTAGATCCCTTTGTTCTTGCATTTCCTTAAAATTGTACCCCCTATTTTATACTGTCTTTCAATGTTCTTCTGAACAAAGTGCATGACTTCACACTTCTCTGTATTGCGTATGACTGATGTCTCTGTTTGTTTTCCATATAATCTGACAAATCTCAATTGAACACATTCCCAAATAAGATTAAGTCTATTGTTTCCTCAATGCAAAAGAACACTAATAAATGCTGCCACATTGCAGGACACAAGACAATTCCTGACACTCCATTTGGTTCTGAAATCAGCTGCAATATTTTATTGAACAAAGATTAGCAATTATTTTGTATTACTCTTACACATAGGTGGGATCAATTGAGCATGAGTGCTCATGGAGGGATGCCAGTTGACTGATTCTCCTTTTAGTTGCGATAATGGGTTGATGTTCTGAGAAACGGCAATCACACGCAGATTGCAACTCCAGCCCTCGTTTTTTGAACAAAAGAAGGGAGCTCCTCATTTCTGACAGGAGATTCTGCTCAGGGCTCCCTCAGAAATGTGGATATGCACTTTCATTCTGACAGTTCTTTTGTAGTGCAGAGAAAGCAAATCATATCGCAGTTCCACAGCAGGCAGTCAGCCGCCGTATTCTGAAATATAAAGATCCTGACAACCACTTTGACAGCTGGCCTTAAATACATCAAGGTAAATGCGATGTTAGGATATTGGAAGGGGAGGATGCTAGATGGGTAGGAGATGTAGAGTGCCAGGTTAAGTAGGATGCCAAATGAGGCTGGTACAAGGGTGATATCTGTTGAGAGAAGTATTACAATATTTAGCATAGGTCACAGTTGGTGGGAGAAAACTGGTCCTGCAGGGCTTGTGGAGGGTAGAGTCAGATCGGGGATTTGGGTCTAGCAGTGGGCAATTGGGTTGATCCAGGAGGGATCAGATTGATCCAGGGGCAGGTCCGGTGGGTGGGGAGAGGAGCTGGATGAGGAGTCCAGCTGTGTCTGGCTTGGGGTTTTGTTGCGGGTGGGGGATGGCAGCCTGGGAAAAGACAGGTCAGGGTCTGGGGAACTTGTACTTGGGGGTGTGAGAGAGGGAAGTTTAATAGATACTCAGGAGCTGAACTATTTATTTAATAGCCTAACTGTTCTGAAGTAACAGTTTTACCTAATTTCATTGGAACTTTCAAATTTCTGACTTAAAATACATATAAGAATAAAGGAATTTGCCAGCAGAAAATTCAATTTCCAGGTCAATTCCTATGGAGTTTGTCACAATGGAAATTCTACAGGATTGCCAAGTGCAGCCCTCATCCATGCTGGAATAAATGTAAGGTTTAATAAGGATTATAAGGAATAATCTTAACCCAGGCCAATGATTTATGCTTTAAATGATTAAGGTTCAAAAATAGCTTAATAGACAATACATCAGATGAAGCACCTCCGATGATGCAACTGATGGATTTTCTGTCTAGTGTTCAACATAGAAATAAAGAAATCAGGAAATCAGAGTCTGCTGGGATGATCTTTGCCAGGTAGTAGCAGAGGTACTGTGACTAGCCTTAACATGCATTAACTTAAGGAAATCAAATATCAGTGGCTTGGTTGGATATAAAATGATGATCCACGAGTCATTCGGCATCACTTTCCAAAACACTTAAGGAGGCTGAGATTTCAGTATTCCTTTATTCATTCACGGGATGAGGGCGTCACTGGCTAGGCGGCATTTATTGCCCATCCCTAACTGCCCAGAGTCAACCACATTGCTGGGGGTCTGGAGTTACATGCAGACTAGACCAGGTAAGGATGGCAGTTTCCTTTGCTAAAGGACATTAATGAACCAGATGGGTTTTTCCCAAAAATCAGCAATGGATTCACAATCATCATTAGATTCTTAATTCCAGAAATTTATTGAATTCAAATTCCACATCTGCCGTGGCAGGATTTGAACCCGGGTCCTCAGAATGTTATCTGGGTCTCTGGATTAACAGTCCAGCGATAATACCACTAGGCCACTTAGTATGTTTATGTCATGGGATGTAACATCCCATCATGGGATAAAACATCCCATGACACTAATGAGGCAGAATAGGAGTTATCCCCAGTGACCTGACAAATATTTATCTCTCTTTCAACATTCAATAAACAGATTATCTGGTCATTAACACATTGTTGTGCACAAATTGGCCGTTGTCTTTCCAGTAGTACCACGGAGACTATATTAAAAGTAATTCACTGAATGTAAAAAACAAGTTTCATAATGGCTCAAGATATGCTCCTTAAAAACAGTCGACTTTTGAAATTTGAAGGAATTTGAGATAGTACCAAGCTCTGGGGAATGACAAATCCAACATTAACCTGTAGGTAGTTAACAATTTCTTTAAATAATGCTAATAGTGTTCAGTGTTGAAAAAAGAAGGCGGCATATTGTGGTTGCTTTGACAGCACACACACTAAAACTGGAATGATACATAGAGGATGAGCATGGCCCCGTGCAAGGGTGACACACAGATTTACGAAACATTATAACATTTAAGAAATGATTTTGGGAGGCTCTTGTGATGCAGTGCTAGTGGTAATATCCCTACCTCTGAACCAGTAAGCCCAGGTTAAAGTCTCACCTGCACCAGAGATGTGTAATAACAGCTCTGAACAGGTTCATTAGAAAATATCTGAAGGATGTTACTTGAGCATGACACATCAAAATAGAAGTGTGGGTGTCAAATCAGAACTCCACACCAATTGACATGATCTGACAATTTGGTATTCTTTAGGTTAACTGCATGTCTGCTAATGGTCAAACTAATATGGCATTCAATACAACTCCAATAAGACCCTGAATTGGGTCATTAAACACCCTCCTGTCGATGTGGATTTTGCCTTCGGCAAAGTGTATTATCTGTAGTAGTAATGCTTACATCATAACATATACTTACATATGAATATTGTCAAAAGGTAAAAAAAAAAATCGCCATAGTCCCAGTGGACCATAAGACTGCTGTCTCATCAGAGATATATAGAGATAGGTAGAGAGATATAGAGATAGAGAGAGAATGACTAGTGATCAGGCAAGTGGCAAGGTTGAGAAGGCAAGACTTTAATTATTACCCCAGCCAGTACAGAAATTGAACTCTTGCTATTGGCGCCATTCCACATCACAAATCAGCTATTCAGCCAACTGAGCTAACCAATGCTGTGGATATTGTAGCATTGAAGAATCCGACAGACATTTATTGCAATTAAGTTTTATATACAGACATTATATTCACAGGCACATCAGTGTCTGGGCTAACATTAGGCTATTTAGTTACAAAGTGGCATGCTTTAAGTGATCTGAATCAAGAAGGAGTCTGAGATGGTTACACCTTCAAGTCACATGTTACAATATAATGAAGACATTGTGAGTTTGTCTCCTAAAGGTACATAGCAAACTGACCATAGACATACCACCCACAGCAACCAAATAATGCAGGCTTCTCATCTGACTTTCACATCAATTAGGCACCTGTCCTTATATTGGAAAGACAATCTATCTGGTGAAATATGTGCATTCAATACTTAAAAAAGATCCCACCATTTTTCCAGATAATCCAGTTAGTCTAAATAACTGGCATAATAATAAAAAAAAATTGAATCTTGTGAAGTATTTGCATAACAAAGTAATGAGAAATAGTGGTGATCATTCAGGAGGACAAAAACACTCTGGTTAAATTAATTGATTCTTCAAGAATAATGTAGATAACAAAAATATCAGATTTAGCAATATCATATTTTCTGGACTTTTAGTGGATATGTCAAAATTCTACATGAAAAGATTTTTAATAAAATTAAAAGTCAGGGATAGAATGGAGGTCTGTATAAGTTAGCTAAAAGAGTAAGCACAAGGAAAATAATTTGTTTGCAGAGTGTCGCTGCAATCAGTTGATTCCCTGTTGTTAGACAGCAACACAGGACTCGTGTCCTCCTTCAATGAGATTTGGGTATATAGGCAGCAGCCTCCCACTCCTAGGAAATCAATATTTTTTTCACAATGTCTTCCCTAAACAGTAGTCTGGAGAGATGAGGTATATGAACTATTTAGTAGAATGCCCAGGAGATCTGTGCTTGGACCTGTTATTACTAGTCTACACAAATAAAATGGGTGTCAAAATCAACTGAATGCATTACAAACTTCCAAAAGAGGTTAAAACAGGGAGGTCATTATTAGCTGTGTTAAAGATTTCAGAAGGATTGAAAATTTGTAATTGGACAGACCAAATACAAGTGAAACTTAAGTTTGTGAAGCATTACATGTCAGGCAAAACAACTTTGTGACATTAAGTATGAGAATGGAGCCCATGAATAATAATTTGCCTTATATAGTTAATGCGGCAAAGCAATCAAGAAGTTAATAAAACTTTAGATTTTTTAAATTGAATCCCTACAGGGTGGAAACAGACCATTCAGCCCAACAAGTCCACACCGACTCTCCAAAGAGCATCCCACCCAACTTGCCCTATCCTTGTAACCCTGCATTTCCCATGGCTAACCCATACATCCTGGACACTGTGGGCAATTTAGCATGGCCATCCAATTAATCTGCACATCTTTGGACTGTGGCAGGAAACTGGAGCCCCCAGAGGAAACCCACACAGACACAGGCAGAATGTGCAAACTTCACACAGTCACCCAAGGCCGGAATTGAACCAGGGTCCCATGGTGCTGTGAGGCAGCAGTGCTAATTACTGAGCCACCATGCTACCACCAGAATATTATAGTACAAAGCTACTATGTTTTAAAAAAGCTTTAAAATAAATCAATTCAACCACATTTGGAATACGGGGTTGAATCTCACTTTTTTGCCCATGTGTCAATAGTTTTTTCTGGTTAGTTTCTCTCTGCAAAGCCTGGCAAGATCTTTTGCAGCATCTTACCAAACTTGCCTCCTAAATTACCCACTTTGGCCCTACGACAACTGTCTTGCTGTATTTTGGAACACATGCCATGCCTGGAACAACTTGCCTCTGCTCAAATACCTCAGAATTGACCTGGTGCCATCTTTTTTGAAGGTTTGTGCAAACAGGCAAGAATTGTTAGCCCAGAGCTGCCCAGTTCCTGAAATTTGCCCCGAACATGGTAGACAGGGGAAATCTGGAGCCCCACTTTGTGGACAAGGATTTCAGGGTCCAGAGGTGGATCACCCTCTTCTCCTAAGACCAGCAGTGGATTCCACAGCACTAGAACATACTTAAATGATTGAGGTTGCCAGTACAGGTCAGTGCTGTCTCAACCTTCACGAGGATGACTAACTGTGAAGAATGTCAATGACCTCCCTCCCCTCTGCGTGCAAACCCCACCATCTTTTCACTGCTACCTTATATTCACTACTTCTGCTACTATACCCACTTCTCAATGAGGCAGTACTGCGGGACTGGTATCTATGGCTAAGGGACAAGGTGCAAAAAGGTAAGATAGGGATGCCACAAGCATCCTTGCAGACACAGAGTGAGTGAGTAATATGACAGCAAAAGTTCAGGCTGTAGATGCAGCCTGGTCCAGTTCAGGAGCACAAAGTTTCTTTGTTGCAGCATTACAATGATAGTCACCAATGCAGCCATTGAAGTGCATAAGTGTCCTGCAAGTGAATCGTAAATGTGCAATAAAGGTACTTAAAGGCTGGCACATGTTCACGAACGTGGAGTGTATGAGGCTGGTGCTCACGGAATGTGCCCTGAGATATTGGTGCCTGGTGTCCAGCATGGACATCCTGCAGAGCAAGCTTCGAACTGAAGTGACTGGTACCCCCTCTCACTTCGATGTAGAGAATTCCCAGCTTCTAGTTTGCTTATGACGGGTGGTAGGCAATAAGGTCATTAACATGAAGTAATCCATCTTAATAGTCAACTTGCCATTTCTAAATGAGAACCTTGCATCAACAACCAGAACTTGCTTAGAAGATGCAGTGACTTGCTCCCTATAAGTGTCTGATTTCTCACACCACATTTCTCGACATAGTCCACATTGTTCAAGTTCCTCCAAGATTCCACACATGCTGTTCAATTCTGGTCATTAAAAATGATAGAATAGGAACAGAGAAGATGATAGATTGAATTATATTGTTCAGAGAGAAATGCAACAGCAATTTACATTTGCAATTAATCCTGAATGTAAATATCTTAGTAGATTCAAAAGCACATGTAATAAAATGGACAAGTCAAGGTGAGATATGGTAGGGATACAGTTGAGGATCACATGAGGTTTAAATATATTTGTTGGGAAATCTGAAGGCATTTTAAGACATCAATGAGGGAATGAGTGAACACAGCAGACAGCAACCATTGGTGGTCCAATGAAAGAGACAAGCTTTAATTATCGGGGCAGTCTTGATGTTGTGATTGCCCCTGAGATGTTTCTTTTCCTTCTGCAACCTGCTCTCCCTATGTTATGAAGGTATGTGTCTCAAAATTGACTGGGTCTCCTGGTCTACCATCTGAAATCTGACAATAGTCAAAATCTAACTCTCTCAAATTCTGAGCTGGAGGAAATTACTCATCCAAGACTTGATGCTGAATGGGACATCTGGCAGCACCAATGCAGTCCACTGTAAAGAAAGACAACAGAAAGGTAGAGTACATCTTATAAAATGAGACTACCCAATTAGTGTGCGCGTATATACGTACACGCATGTATACCAAATCCTCCATCAAATAAAGTATGAATGACAAAGATCCCACGTTTTCCCCTTTGAAAATATCTTATCCTAGCAGCACAAGGTGTAATAAAATTAAAGATAAATTAAAATGTATTGTTTAAAAATGATAAATGTTTGGAATAAATAGTTAGGAATAGGGAAATACATAAAGGAAAATTCAAAATGCAATTAACAGTAGGCTGGGATAGTTGTTGTACCAGATAGATAAACCTCTTGACTTCCATTACCATCTATTCATTTGCTAAGGAAGCTGATTCATCCTCCAGTCTGCAGGGGTTAAAGTGCAAATTTATACATTGTTACTTTAAAATAGCAGTAGTTGGAACAGTTGCATACACATACTGGAGGCTTTGATTCCAAACTATGTACATATTTTATTAATATTCTGCAGTTTTTAAGTGAGTGTAGATTTAGTGCATTACTGCAACATATGAAAACAGTATTGCTTTGCTGAAGTTGAACTGATTTGCAATTTTGACACCAAAAGAAAATTCTCCTTAAGAAGCAAGGTTTTGAGATCTATAATCTGTCAGTCCAACGGGGAAAGCTACATGAGACAGGTCTAACCACTAGAACGTTGGATTGAAGGTCTGCCATTTAACAATAGAATTGAAACATTACTGTTAGTTTTTGAAAAAAGGCTATTTCAGTTTGCCCAAATTTAAATGTGAAAATTAACCACGATGATGTAATGTGTTGTTATTGCTTATTTCTGATAATGTATTGTATTGTTCATTTATTAAATAATTACTTGGATGATTCTCAGCAAAAATGACAGAGTTGAAGGAAAGGGTTCACAAATATTTGTTGTAGGAGGGATCTCTCTGATGTTAATGTGTGAACA